AGTCTAAGGAGCGAGAATCAAGAGTATACAAAGAGAAGTCTCCTTAACACTCCATTCCTGCCTTGGATTGGGACACCACTGGCTTCCCCAGGCTTCCCCAGAGCAATATCTGGAAGTCACAAAGCAATGTTCTTGGAATAAGTGACAGCATAATCTGTGCTACAAATTCTTCTGTCACAGAAGCAGGAGATGCCATGCAGACCAATGGCTCATCCCGTTTCTGCCTTTATTCCTGCCTACAGCCAGCTATCCCAACTCATCAGTGGGAGGATGTGAAAGTTCCCTACATTTTGTTGCATGATCTATCCCTAATCCCTGTGGATCTGGGCTGTTCTAACACCTGCAAAGCTGTAGGATGCCTGAAGACATGAGTGACTGATGGAGTACCCAATGATTAATGAAATGGTTTGCACGGCAGAACAGGGTCAGATTTAATGGTCTGTGACAGAAAGCTAGTCAGGGCCAAAATGCAGAGGACAGACACTTTCAGGGACATCTCTGCCTGTTGGGTCCTTTGCAGTGGGAGGCAGAGCCTGGCACAGCCACATTTGCAAAATTGCCACAGTGCCACTTTCCTCCAGGCATACTTACCTTTAACAGACTTTTTTTCCCATCCATTGTGTCCTTGGTCTTGGGAAAGTAAAATTTTCTTCAAAGGGCAGGCAAAGGTCTCACCTTTAACCACTGAAACTTCTAACTTAATCCAGAATTTAGTCTGAACCCAAGTTAGCAGATTGTCAGCATAGGTGGAAGACCAGGAACTGCAAGCAATCAAGCTACCAAAGCACTGGGGACCTGGCCACTCAGTAGTTGCAGTACAAGCATGCTGGAGTGTGATCTCATCAGTCTGTGAAGTTCAAGAGTTATTTTGCAGTGATTCCTCTTGCTAGAATGCACATCAGTATTTAAAACCTTCTGTTGGCTCACTCCTGCTCCCAAATCTTATTCCTTTGCTCTAGATGTGGTTGCAGCTCAAGGCAAGTTTGGGGTCGGCAACCAAAGCAAAGCACGCAGTCTGAGCTGCTGCACATAAAACTGGGATTTCCATGCATGAGAAGCTGAGGCTGTGACCAGGATGGCTGATTTCCATGCATGAGAAGCTGAGGCTGTGACCAGGATGGCTGTTCCTGTGACCTGCTTTTCAGGAACTCACAGGGAGAAGAAATGCAGCCAGCCAGGACTGCCACTTGCCATAACCATTGTGCAGGAAGGGCTTGTGATGTGTTTGTTTACAGAGCATAGAAAAATGGGTGAAAAAATGATAGACACTATTAGTCACTAATATCAGGATTAATCACACACAGCAGGATTATGTGGTTTGCATGAGTCAGCCCCAAAATGCTGAGGAGCTGCTCCAGGTGCACACACACCTGAGTGAGGGGAACATCTCACGCACAGCTAAGGATTCTGCTGGAAACGTGGTTGTCTTCCAAGACTTTGGCGTTGAGTGATGGATCTCTGTAGGAGGCTGCCCTGAGCTGCTGAAACAGAGTCTAAACCTTCACACACTGCCCAGCCCCTTGTGCTTTGATACAGGATCTGTTTAAACCCCTCCTTGGCATCTCTTACTGTGCACACATCAGAAATCTAGTGACATAGGAGGAGGAGAACGTAAAAATCGAACTTCTGAAGTTAGGCTCTCTGTCCATACGGAGTGTTGAGGAATACATCTGGTCCAGGTAGCTCAATTTGCAAACTGCAGATTGAGATGCAGATTGAGCTCCGGGTAGGGGCCTGAGACAAGAGGCTGTGAATTGCCACCTTTTGGGATAACAAAGGGTGCGAGGATAGGTGACGGCCAGCCAGGAGAATGGACAATGAGGGACGCATCAGGGGCCAGGAATTGCCAGGCTTTTGAAGATGAAGAGGGGTGATGCCAGCGAGGTGGATGCACACAAAGACGCGGACTCAGGAGGAAGAGCAAGACTTGTGTCGGAAGACTCCGAGATTATAAAAGCTTAGGGGTTCCTTTGTTGCAAGTCCTTCTTGGAGGGATAAATGGTATTATGGAACCAGACGTATGAGACTCTGAGACAGGTTAAACAAGGAAGGAAGCCTGGTCTGG